ATTGAAATATAAAAAATATTTATAATCGAAATTTGCAAAATATAAGAAGTTGATATAAAATTTTATGTAAAATTAATTAAAAATTTTACATTTAATGAAGTTTAAATTATATTCTTAGGAGACAGGTTAAACAAATTCTTAATAAATTAAAATTAATCTTTACTCTTTTACAAAAATTAACTATTAAAAGGCACATTAAATATAAAAGAACATGTTAGAAAGATATTTTCATAAAATAAAATTTATAAACTAGTTAATTTTAAAAATAAGATAACAAAATTAAAGTAAATACTAAATACTTTTAAACTCAAATTATGAATCATAGTACTATATTAAATTAAGCTTTTATTTTTAAGATTTTAAATTTTTTATTTAATAAAATCATAAATAATAATGAAAATGATTGGATAAGATTCAAAATTTTAAGTGTTTAAATATTAAATGAAATTTAATTTAATGATATTGTTCTTTCCTTTTTCATTTTATTTTTTATAGAAATTGTTTGAAATTAAAAGATTTAAATTAAAATTTTTATTTAATTTTTTTTAAAATTACTAATTATTACATTCAACTTTTAATTATGAATAAATTAAAAAAATTGAAATATTAGCAATAAAAATTATAGAGTTTAGTGATTTAACAATTGGTGATGGATTTGACATAGTAATAATAAGCATGACTTCCAAGAACTACATACTTATTTTAATGAAGATGCTCCTCTCGTTTAAGGCAAAATAAATGAATCAATAATGATGCTTCATCTATTTAATATTTGTCTTTATTGTCGATTTGATTTAAGACTTTTTTTTTTATATTCAAAACTTATTTTGTAGTAAATTTAATTTAAGATTGAGTTTTTTCTTTTTATCATACTTGATGAACTTATCTTATATTATGTATTTTAATATTTGTTAGTTTAGATCTTAAAATTATATGTATTTAATTAAATTTATTATTTTAAATGATTTAAATGATGATTTTCAAGTTGATATTATGATGATTATTTTTTAAGAATAAAATAAAAGTAATATACAATAGTAAAATCTAATAAATATATTAAAAAATTGTTTTTAAGTTGACTGGTTGAACTGATCGAGTGAACCAATTCAATTTGTTCAACCGGATCCAGTGACCGAACCAAGTCAACCACCAAGTCGGACCCAAAAACATTGATAATTTGTGTTAGCACTTTTATAGGCCAAATAAAACCACCCTTTATCAACTTGAAAATCAATAACCATAGTTAAAAAATTACGATCTCACATCAATTATTTTATTTAATAAAGATAAATAATAATGTAAAATATAACATATGGTACCTATTTGGAATTATGGTGAAGTTAATGTCAAAATCTTAGAGGTTGTGTTTGGGAATTTGAATTTGAATTTGGTGAGTATAATTAAAATACATGTAATTTAAATACACGTATTTTAAAATATATTGTTTGGATTGAATAAAAAAATGAATTTTAAATACATGTATTTTTAAATACATTGTTTGGATATATTAAAAAACTATGTATTTAAAATTGAATTTTTCCTATTAAATTAAATCTTCTTCTAATCATTTTTAAATTTACTAAGACCAAAATTAATAATTTTATTCTTTCAAGACATTATTTAAATTCCCTCAAAACAAACAAATTGGATAAAAAAAAAATGACCTCCACTAATCAATTTGCATGTTCTCCATTTTCTGTTCATTTTTCCCATTGTCATACAATGTTCATTTTTCCACTAATCAATATTCAATAATTTTTTTTTTCTGTTGCATGAAGCAAATTAGGATCATATTGAGATCGAAATAAAAGAAATGGTGTATTTGTAACAATGATTGTTAAATGACTTGCTTTTGGTGTCACCTTGATTACCAACATTGTATGGAATACGAGCTTGTTTAGGTGGTTGCTGCTGTTGATAGCGATTCTATGGCTTTTCAACATAATTCGGAGCTTGGTACCTATTGCAATTTTCAAGTCATTCCAAGGAAAAAAAAAAAATGAAGTAATATATAAGCTACTTCCATCAAAGGCCATTAACATGCCCAAACCCCAAATACTAACATACAGGCTTCTAAACATCAAATATGACAACTACATAAAGAAAAATGACTCATAGTTGTTTCTCTTCACATAAAAGATAAAACAATGGCCTCAGATGTCAATTGCAACAAGTATATCATATAAACTTACCTAGGGGAATTTTGGTTTAGCTCTCCTAATCAAAAGGTAATTGAAATCATTGAGACCTGGTGAGTCATCTCCGCACTACATCATATATCAATACTCAGATGTATATGGCACAGAATCAGGGCAATACATTAACAAAGGCAAAAATAACAAGATAATTACTTCTCAACTCCTTCCTCAATGGGTTCCCATACATCAATTATGCTGACTGAACTGATGGCAGTATCTTGATGTAACCGGGGCATCCTTTTCTGTTTAATTACACATAAAGATAATTAATTAAGCACACAAAGAAAGGATGGCAGGCAAAGAGGAAGCAAGAATGGAGCACTTGAAAAGACTACCAACCTTTATGATCTCTGCAATGGCTACTGTCTTGCTGATTGCCTGTCCCATTGCTTTCATGACAATCTCCTTCACATGTTTTTCCTAACAAAATATCACTAAGATATCCATATAAATTCAAGATTTTGCAACTTCAGTGGAACAAAAGGAAAAACGAATCATAGAAGTAAAAAGAAAGATACAAAAACGAATTGGAGAAATGGGGGAAAGAAGCTCAGTCCAAGGACTGAAGGGAAAGGGTCAAAAGCTCACACAAACCTAGCACAAAATAGATATTTGATTTCTTCCTTATTAAGCGAAGCATATAAGAACTCATACCAATATCTAGTAGCTAAAAGCCACCCTGAAGAAACTAGAAGTGCACCCAAACATCAAGAATAACAATAATGAAATAAATTAGTAAAACCCCCAAACACGGTATATATACTTAAAAACTTACAAGAAGTCTGCTAGAACTCACTAATTTTCAGCAAAAATGGTTGCTTGAGAATTGAACCCACCAAATGAAAGAGAACAAAATGGCACTCAATTTTCAAAATCAACGTACTAATCACCTAAAGCCCCGCAAAACAAGTCAAAAACACATCATTGGGAACCCATGCACCTAATAGCATAACACCAGCATCCGAACTCCTCCATCAAACAAAACACTGAATCTAAACTACCCAGAAAATAAATCAAAACAAAAGAAGCGGAACAACAAGCATAATATGGGCAATCGACAAAAGATTGCCAATAAATAAGGAGGCAAAGAAAGAGAAGAACAATCCAAAGACATAAAGAAAACAGAAATGAAATGAAGGCAGAAATTGAGGGATACCTGAAGCAGAGAGGTAGTATAGCTGATGTAGTTTCGAATAGGGCAGGAGTGGTTTGAGTGGTCGACGACGAGAAGGTGGAGAGCAGTGGCAGAGTCGATGATGGATGGATGATGGAGGCTTCATCGTCGTTGGTGAGAGGAAAGAGTGCAGAGGAAATTGAAATTGAAATTGAAATTGAAATTCATGGATTTGAGGGTGAAATTGAAATATATGATTTTTCTCCTTTGAATTCTCCTGGGGGAAATGCATATATTTAAACCAAATTCAATTACCTTCTATTTATATAAAAATAAATAGTAATATTGAATAATATTGAATTTAAAAGGTTTAAATTCAAAAACACCACATCAAATTCATGTTCCCAAACATACCAAGAAACTGTTCTTGGTTTAGGTGGAGGAAGTTCATGGACTGATACTTCACTTTACTTGTTACTTGTCAAGAGTGTAGGTAAAAGATTCATTGGAGCATACCTACATCAAAAAAATTTCAAAAAATATATCCAAGCAATCTAAATTTGATATTTATCATGTTTTCACCAATTATCATGACACAAGTCGCATTATTGAATCTTATTTTCACTGATCTAGCCACTGGTTGAAAATTTGATTCAATAATGCAACTAAAATTGATTATTACATATACATCCCTCATGCAATAATGACTGGAAAGTTGACACTAGTGTTCGTTCAATAATAATTTGAATTATATCACCCTAAAACAAAACAAATACCAATTATATATTTGTTTTTTAAATTAAAAAAAAAAAAGCGAGAGAGAGAAAGTATAAAGTAGACTTACATTGATATCAATACGATTGCAACAAGAGTACTAGTTAACTCATGTCTTCTTGGAGCAACTACATTCTATATACAATGGAAACAAAGTATAATCTTGGAATTAGGGTGAGTTAGGTATTGCGGTTGAGAGGTTTTTTGTGTAGCCGTACATTACTTTTAGATATTTATACGTTTGGTAATTTTTTTTAGATTGTTTTTTCTAAAAATTATAGAAAGCCACAACAAATTTATAGTATTTTTATATATAATGCCAGATGCATCATTTTGGAGTTTTTTGGTTGGAGCTTTTACAAAGAACACCTATTATTAATATAATTATAAAATTATCCATTAAAACTTAATTTTCTATAATTTAATTATATCATAATTTATAATATTTGAATAATAATAACAAATCTAAAAAACCTAAATTATTAAAAAATAGTAAATATTATCTATTTTAATAATTATATATCTCATAATATTTTTTGAATTTTAATTAATAATTAATAAAACCTACCATATTTCATTTATAATACTTTTAAAAAATAAATAACTAAACATCAAAATAACCTTTAGTTACAGTCACAGCATAGTTTAACACAATTACAGCCACAGCACAGTTTAACATAGCTACAGTCACAACTACAACCATAGCACTTCACAACAATTCCAAACGCATCCTTAGATTGTCCCTTAGTCAATATATTGATGGTTTGAGAATTAGATTCCATTTCAAGCCAATAAACAACCCAAAAGAAAAATAAAGGTAAACAAAATCAGGTGGAATAGGAATGGGGAACAAAGTATATACCTTATATAAATTGGTAGTGTAGAATAGGAAATTTCTATTCTTGATGAATGAGATATTTAGTTCTATTCAAAATTGAATTATAGTGTGGGTTCCAAAAACATGTAGAATTATTATAAGCTTAATCCAATGATAAAGTCACTCAGCCAAACTTGTTTACTTGTTTAGATATTTATTGTGGGACTCACATCCTAATATTAATTGAGGTATATATTATTATAATTATATAGTAATATTATGGTTAGAATTTACATATGCAAGACATAAACCCTAATATTAATTGGGGCATATATATGAGATTATATAGTATTATAGTATATAATTAAAATGGGGATGTAGCTCAAATGGTAGAGCGCTTACTACTAATGACATGTTGATCCAAGTAAAAGGAGTTTGATTCCCCTTAAACAAAATTTTGAATTTGAGTTTTGTGAATAGAAAAACAAGTGTTGGGAGAGCTTTCCTCCTGTCTCTTATACTCATCTTTTTAATTCTCATCCTATGATGTTCATGCATGAAT